CGCGGGGCCCCAGCCTCCGCTAGTCTACTTTCAGTTCCGGAAGCAGGAGACTCGGCCACAGAAGCCCCAAGAGGAACAGGAAAAGGGGGAGGAGCGGGGCTGAGGGAGGAGCTGCCTCTGGGAAACTGAGGCACGCCCAGACGCCAGGTGTGTCAGCGCAGGCCACGGAGGGTGGAGCTCTGCGCTCCTGTGGTGGCCAGGAGACGGCCCCAGCCTCCGCTAGTCTACTTTCAGTTCCGGAAGCAGGAGACTCGGCCACAGAAGCCCCAAGAGGAACAGGAAAAGGGGGAGGAGCGGGGCTGAGGGAGGAGCTGCCTCTGGGAAACTGAGGCACGCCCAGACGCCAGGTGTGTCAGCGCAGGCCACGGAGGGTGGAGCTCTGCGCTCCTGTGGTGGCCAGGAGACCAACAGGATGTCAAGATCGGGGAGTCCTTCCCTTCCCTCTTTTCTTCCCTCCGGGAGTCACCGGTCCTTGCATTACAGAGAATCCAAACTCCTTTCTGCTCCTGAAAGGAGGAGTTGCTTCCCAGTTCCTCAAAGAGCGCACTCAATGCTGTTAAGGACGCTCACTGCATCCATGCGCGTGATATCCATCCCATGCACAGTGACTCCCGGTTCTGGTCCATTTGGCAAATCATGAGACCTGCAGGGGAGCTGCCACTGTCTAATTCACAAAGGCAGACATCACAGTCAAGTGTCCCCTGTGCCCTTGTGAGCAGAGAGGGATCATTAGCTGTTCACATCTTTGCTCAGCGCCCACTTTGTGCTGGGTGGTCCCGGGGACACGGCGGAGACAGAGACAGCCTCGGAGTCTGTCCTCACGGAGCTCCCGGTCTAACAGGGGCGACTCAGAGTGACAGCCCAGCGTGGTCAGGCTGGGATTCGGGAAACACAGCAGAGTGACCAAGGCTGAGATGTGGAAAGCAGGACGAGGGCATAACTCTGCTTAGGGAGGTTGAGAAAGCTTCAGAGGAATGTCGACAGCCATTCTACATAATTTGGGGGGAAAAATCATTTCAAAATTAAATTATTTAGGACTGT